TTATGAATGCCAGTTGTACAGCACATAGAAAATAGCACCTCTCAGCAATAATTACACAACCCATCTGTATTGTCTTTAGGGAATTTAAAATGATGCCATATACATCCTTTACAAATGCTTTAAGCATCCCACAAAATCAGAAGAAGAGAACACAGAGAAAAACACATTCAAAAATTGCTACATCATGTAGAAATCACAGGTTAAAAATAATGCTTTGTTCTGCTTATCAGTAGACCAAAAGAAATCCAAATGTAAATTGTGTAACGAAATGCAAAATACTGCATTTCACCAAAAATGTCCATTTTAACATTTTTTCCTTGGGTTTTCCAAATGCATTCAACAGATCTGCCAGTTATTCCTAACTGGGACCTGCCTAATGGCAAAGAGAAGAGAAACGCAGCAATACAGCAAACATAAGGGAAAGGAGACAAAAGAAAAATGAACAACAGGAAACTAATTTGCAGAAATACTCCTACTCGGGAGAAGCACATCTTTTAGGTAGAGCCTGAAGGAAGTGAGAGAGAAGGACAAGATGGAGAAGGATAAGTGAGACAAGAGCAAGAGGAACAAATGAAACAAAAAAGATGTAGGGTAAAAGAAACAAGGAAAAAGCAGAGTAAAAGGGTAGAAGAGCTTCTTGAATCTCCTCTGTGATAAAATTTTGCCTCATTATTCCAATCTCAGTCATATTCTGTTACCTAACAAATAAGGGAAAAGCTTAAGGCCCCTAATTTGAATATGTTCCCACAACTTGAAGTCCACCCTGAACATAAGCTATCCTACTTGTCTTATTTCGGAGGATACTGTGGGAAATGGTCTTAGAGTGAACATATAAAGACTCAACTAACACAGCTCCAGAAACTTGACTCTTGCTAGCCCTCTTGTACTTTCCCAAGAAAATGAAAGTTTTGCATTTTCTTTTTTCCAGACTGCATTCCTACCTTTAGCCACACTTCTGGAAGTGAGGAGCAGACCTGCAGGTCTCTAGAAAGAGGACACCTCATTGGATATGACCCATGCCAGGTCCTTGCTTCCCTGTCAGCCCATGTCTGTCATCCCAGCTCTGCTGCATGCAACCAGCTACCTCCTAATTGCTTACCCACAGAAAGAGCTCAATGGGATCCCTATCACAGCTCACCCAGGAACTGCTCCAGAGATTTGACTCTTGCCAACCTTCATTACAAGTTCACAACACCATCTGATATCACTCTGAGAATGAAATTTGTATTTCTCCTTTTCTAGTGTATGCCTTAAATCCCACACATAGCAAGAACAGGCCAGCATGTCTCCAAGCAGTGACTTATTATTTCAAGACAAGCCAAACTCATCCTACATTTCCATTTCAGTCCCCCGAGGACTAGCAGGCTCTTCTCCAGGATTTCTTTCCCCTTGCTAGTCTCCTGTCAAACATTCTTTTAGACACCTGAAATCTACCTGAGTAGATTCCATTTAGCTCTTGATGAATGCAGGTCTATCTAGCATCTCTCTTTTTCCAGACCCCCACTTTCTGTTTGAAATTACCTAAGTTTTTATGTTTCTTGGTTAAATAAGCCCCTTCTGATGTAAAATGTAAAATAAAATTCTTCAAATTATGTAGTTATGTAGCTGGTGAGTCTCACCTCCGTGCCTGGGAAGATCATGGAACAGATCCTCCTGGACAACATGCTCGATCACATAAAGAATGAGCATGTGATCCGAGACAGCCAGCATGGCTTCACCAAGGGAAGGTCATGCCTGACTAATCTTGTGGCCTTCCATGATGGAGTGACGGCATTGGTGGACGAAGGGAAGGCGACTGATGTCATTTACCTGGACCTGAGCAAGGCCTTTGACATGGTCCCCCACCACATCCTCATCTCCAAATTGGAGGGAAGTGGATTTGATGGGTGGACGACCCGATGGATAAGCAATTGGTTGAAAGGCTGCAGACAGAGGGTAGTGGTCAATGGCTCTATGTCCAGGTGGAGGCCGGTAACAAGTGGTGTCCCCCAAGGGTCTGTCTTGGGACCGGTGCTCTTTAGCATCTTTATTAATGACATCGATGAAGGAATTGAGTGCACCCTCAGCAAGTTTGCTGACGACACCAAGCTGAATGGTGCGGTTGATACGGTGGAAGGAAGGGATGCCATTCAGAGGGACCTCGACAGGCTTGAGGGCTGGGCTCGGGTGAACCTAATGAGGTTCAACACGGCAAAGTGCAAGGTTTTGCATTTGGGCCGGAAGAACCCCAGGCACCCGTACAGGCTGGGAGGAGTGGTCCTTGAGAGCAGCTCGGCAGAGAAGGACCTGGGGGTCCTGATGGACGAGAGACTGAACATGAGCCAGCAGTGCGCTCTGGCAGCTCGAAAGGCAAATGGGATCCTGGGCTCCATCAGGAGAGGGGTGGTCAGCAGGGACAGGGAGGTGATTGTCCCTCTCTACTCGGCTCTTGTGAGGCCCCATCTGGAGTACTGTGTCCAAGTGTGGAGCCCTCAGTACAAGAAAGACATAGAGATTTTGGAAAGGGTCCAGAGGAGGGCGACTAAGATGATCAGGGGGCTGGAGCACCTCCCCTATGAGGACAGGATGAGGGAGTTGGGCTTGTTCAGCCTGGAGAAGAGAAGGCTGCGGGGTGACCTCATTGCAGCCTATCAATACCTGAAGGGAACCTACAGCCAGGAGGGGAGTAAACTCTTCAAAAGGGCTGACAATAGCAGGACTAGGGGAAATGGATCCAAGTTGAAGGAGGGAAGATTTAGGTTGGATGTTAGGGGGAAGTTCTTCACAAGGAGAGTAGTTGGGCCCTGGAACGGGCTGCCCAGGGAGGTTGTGGATGCCCCGTTCCTTGGACGTGTTCAAGGCCAGGTTGGACGGGGTCCTGGGCAACCTGATCTGAATGTGTATGTTTGGTGGCCCTGCTAGGCAGGGGGGTTGGAACTACATGATCCTTGAGGTCCCTTCCAACCCGGGTGATTCTGTGATTCTGTGATAGTTACAGCTCTCCGAAGTTGAGCTGTTCTGTGAACTTCAGTGACAAATTCTCTATTTTGTACAAAGGGCTAATCCAAACTTCACTTCTGAGGATGTAAAAATACGGTCACTGAGTAGATTCCGCTGAGGTGGAGGAGAAACATTATAGGATGACAGTAAACTACCACATTTATTTTTATTTTTTTTTCCAACCTACTCCATGAATCAAGTTTCTTTCTGCTAAGTTCCAGCTCAGACTGGTCCTTAACACCAGGCTGGCTGGCCAAGCATTTTACAGCTAGTGCAGAAACTCTTGGATTGCAAAATTCATCCATCTCAAGTACAGCTCTAGAGAAAATGATCAAACAGGAGTGTAGACACAAGAGGAAGAAGAAAGAGGGTGGTAAAATCAATGCTGCTTTTTTTTCCTCCTTCATACTACACCCTCATTCATGCAGATTCTTCAGAACTACTTCAGCCAAGTTTCAAATGGAGCAAGCACTTTCAGATGAGCAGTAAACCCCTGAAAGCTTGGATTTATAAGAGGATACTGTCAGAACCATACTTACAGCACTGCTAGCGGGTGCTGCCATAATCACATCAGATCACATTATAGATGGCTAAGAAGGTTTTGTGAGCCTGACCGTTGTGCCTGCCTAATTTACAGCGTTCCTGTCAGGAGGAAATCAAGTTTCATAGTTATGACATTTCTTTCTGGAGTACTAAATGTTAACTTTGCTGATCACGCATATTTTGGTAGAACAGCTTATTTCTAAATGGCAAACGTGATATAAAAAGCATAATGACTTCATTCAAAACTTTTATAGAGTGAGCAGCTGATTCTCACACCTATAGAAAACAGACTAAGTGGTATTTTAGTCATCAAAGGGTAGAAATAGATACACACTCAATATATTCAGTTTTCCCATTTTAAGTAATGTCATGGTGCCATAATTGCAGTCTATCTAAAACTAGTTATTTTTTGTACTTCTAATATGAACTTAAACAATGTTGTCATATAATAAAAGTATTATTATTGATAGATAACAGCAGCAACCTTTTTACAAGTTTCATTTCATACAAGGACTTCATCTTAATTGATAGTCATTCAGAGCTAGATGATTGTTCGTAATGGAAGGAAAGGACAAAGGCAGCCTCACACTCTGTAATAAAATTCACATACAGTCTCAGCACTTGGAAGAAATGAGAGAAAGATGCAGCATCACTTGACAGGTGAGAGTTACACCACAATGAATGCATGCACTACCTCTATCACACTGGCTACTGGTGTATTTTCCTCTACATCATGTACAGGAAATAATTCCCACTAGAATTCTGGTGAGACCTGCTGTTGCTGTGGACTTATTGCATATCCCCTGTTGCAATTGTTGGGGAAAAACTGCTGTAAATGAGTAACTAACATCAGCTAGGGCTTGCTAAAGAGTCCCCCTAAAATCTAACTATTTGCAAAACCTGTAGTATATGTTATGAAGTACAAGCATTGTTTACAAACAAAATTCTCATCTTTATTTTGACGTACTGGTAGTATTTAGACTACAGACAAAGCTTATGCAGTCTACTTGCTGCTACCAATATTTTACAGTTGTAGTTAAGTTACAGTTACCTCAAGAGGTCTCCTGAACGGTTAAAGGTTAGTAACTGAAACAAACAGAATCTCAATTAATTTCAAACAATTTCTAACAATTTAATGACTTGCATTAACTAAAACGTAGTTGAACATCAGATATGTTTCCCACTTAGTTAACAAGTGTACAGGCACCCTGATAAGGAGTAATTTTTATGGTTCTGATACAGATTAGCTCTATTCTAACAATTGTATTAGGATCTGTAATTACATTACGTATTTGTAGATGAAGCAGAACATCTTATTTAACTTCTTGCTTGTACTTTCCTCAAACAGAAGCACAACCAGGAAGATAAGCTGTGGTGTACTATATGTAGTAAAAGCTCACTGCCTTTAGATTTTCTTAAAAGGTCACTGTAAACGTTTTTGTTAGCCACAGAAATCTCGTTTCATAGATGACTCTTACCTTTATAACAGAGGCCCCTGCCCTGGAAAGAGGACTGTGCATTTGGGCTGCTGCAGCCATGTTAGCTATTGTATTGAGGTGGTTCATCTGATTCATTGCCATTGCAACCGAAGCGGGAGGTAGGCTGACAGGTAGCAGAGGGTGGGGCATCATCATGAACGGCAGGTCTATCCCTAAAAGAGAGCACGTGCAAGTTATGTGTGTCAATCCCCCATCTTATATCCCTTAATTTTTAAAGTCTATATTTTACTGGAATATTGGCTAGCTGGACTCAATTCTATTGTGTGTTATTAAATTTGAGGTTATGCAGGGAATAATTCTGCATTCTAGAAAAGGCTGTACAGTTTGCGCTGGGCCAAGAAGCACACAGATGTAAAAGCAATGCAATATTAGCAAAATTAATATATACTAGCACACAAGTTAGAGACATTTTTATTGACGTCAACAAAGCGAAAAAACAAAAATATGCAAATATCTGCATGTTTTTCCAATACAAGTGAAGAATATTCATTAATGATTTTAAGAAGTCCTCTAACTTAATTTACCTACGCAGCAATCTGAGACTAGTCTTCTGTATTAGGACTACTCCCTGACTAAAGAAAGCTGTAGAATGGACTACAGGACCACTGTACTACCATATAGGGCTGTGAACATGACTATGGGATGAGAGCAAATCATGACCAACTAAACGTCTTAAGATTCACTATAATTTATTTATAAGATGATCCATGCCAATATTAATGATGACACATACATCTCCCTTCACTTTAACCATACTGACCTTCACTGCTTACATCCATAAGCCTTGGTTCCCTTGCATATCTCCTTTAACAGCCCAATAATCTCTCCTCATACTCCACAGAGCTCCAAAACTCCCAGACACCATCTGGTCACATTGAGTTGTATGTCTACTTAAAGTCCAATTGACATGCAAACTAAATGCAAACTACAAACAGAATTTAACAGCATATCACCAGTTTTAAGACACAATCCGTCAAACATTTTGAAGACTATGAAGAAAATATAGCTTGCAAATCATTGGACATGTCTGACATTCAATAAGCTCTTTAACAACCTATAGACATTTGCCTACTACAATATCTATTGGAAAATAACCTGAAAGTTTTCTGAACAGTAAAGAACATTGTCCCTAATGCAAAACATGTACGGATACTCAATTATGCAAGAATATAAATGAAAGCATAAACCACAGTGTATGTTAGTCCTGTAACTTGGTGGTTCTTAACTACTGACATTTATCCAGATGCTCAGGCTCTAACCCTGCCATGAACAAAGCAATCATTTATTTTAGGAGCCTTTTAGATAATCCTGATTTTTTGAAGTTTGTGGTGCCACTTGGGTAGCAAGAAAGTATCTGCTCCAAAAATTTCATAAGGAGTCAGAAATGTCACTCGTCCACTGAAACAAACACCAAAAGTCAACTTTCAAAACTGAGGATAAAGAAATGAAACAGATAATAAGGGTTCACAGATAATGAAACTTTAATTCTTCATCCATCACGATCTTTTACAATTGATTTTACTCTTCACTATCTTTTTAAATACTATTATCTGTTGTTTTCGGAACTGCTTTCTTGGAATAACTTCACAGTCCCTCCCCTTTGGGTCTAGCAGAAGAGGTGATCTCTAACTTCTCACCTGTCCCCTTCCTAAAGGAAGGGAAGAAGAGAGGATTATAGTGAATTGAAAATTCCAAAACCAAATTTCAACTGTATCATTCTATTCCAGTTCTTTTGAACAGCTAGATATAAGTGATGACTTCGTATAAACCCGGTAGTTACAAGGAAAGACAAAGAAGAGGAATTTGCTTCTACACACTTTTCACTAGTCATTTTCCACCCATTCTTTGCTCTCTCATATTCACTTGGTGAGCAACATTTTCAGTTGGAAGAGAACTCACTAATATTTTAAGCAACTGTACTTGTTTTTAGGCCACAGCAATGCTGACTGGAACTCACAGCCCCTACCCAACAACAGATGGCCATTTAAAGGTAGTGGCTGTATCTCAGTTGAGTAAAGCCTGCCTCCAAGCAGGGACTCCATATAACTTATTCTTTTCTCCCCATGAGGGTCCAGTACATACTGTTGGTAAGCAGGTGGTTCTGCTGAAGAGGACTGAGTGGGTGTGCACTTCCAAGGCTCGACTGTCCTGACAGGGTGGGATGACCAATGCTGTGCTGTGATCCTGTTGTAATGGGAGACTGAAGTTTGTCTTTATCCCAGGAAGATTCACTCCCACCTGCAAAACAGGATATAAAGGGACCACAAATGGCATATACTCTTTTAAAAAAAGCAGTCTGCTTTGTTAGTGACAAACTAATACTCTTTACCACACTTATGTGCTTAGCACAAACACAGCACTTTAAAAAAAATGAAGATTAAGAAATATGAATTAGGCAAAAAATATGATTAAGGAACTTCAGTATCTCCTACTTTCATACCAGCAACGTCTGAAAGAGAAAAAGCTAAACGTTTAAGGAAAAAATTATCAAAGTAAGCATCAGACACTGGATCACAATCTCCTGTCAGAAGGAATCAGGCCTGCCAGGGACTAACAGATGTCTATCAGTGTTGTTAATACTAACCAGAGAGTGGCTCCACTAGTCACTCCTTCAGTGGTTACAGCCCTCCTAACTTTTAACTCAATGACCTGAACAGGTTACAGCAATTTATCCCCACCATGTTATCTGTAAGCTTTAGCAGCTTTTGCTCCTCTGCTGGGCTTGACCCACAGATGCTTTGCTGGGTTAGCAAAGTCAGGCATTAGGCAGGGCTTGGAAACTATCAGGATTCAAGATGTTGAGTTCAGACACTTATAACGCGCAGCAAGTGTGATCAGAACAACAACAACAAAAATATAGCACACTGAACACTCATCTGTTTGGCCAGGAATATCTGTTTGGTCTTCTGAAGATGTTGTGTTTTGCAGCAATTTTACAGACGGTAGTTTTCTTTAGTATTACATTTATACACGTGAATAACAACAAGCTCCTTTTAAAGAGCAGTTAAGTAGACCATGAGAGTGAATTCCGAAACACACACCTGGTCCACAAAGCAAACCACCTTAAAAGTCAGGCTGAACAGTTTTAGAGTAAAAAGCTATTCCAGATAAACTCCTTTCCTAGCTATATCCCATGTTTTCAATTAGATGGATTGTTATGAAAATATATAATTGATTGTAATTGATGTGTATTGATTTTATTTTGATTTTATGAACAAGAATTTCGATTAGAATAAGTAACAGATTACTGTGATTAAAGGAGACTGTAGTAGAAAGCAAAAGGCACTTAAATTGAAAATGAAAGTAACAGAAATTTTCTACGTTTTTATGACAACACTCAGATAATAAACATGATTAATACTGCTAAATGCAAAAGTTTGAAAGATCAATGAATGAGAAGAAAGGTAATCACTCTATCATTTTATCACTATGTCCATGTGTGAATTACCTTCCTATAAAAGATTAGTAATTTGCAAAATGATGAGTCATAACTGACAAAAAAAAGATACGGTGAATAATGGCACGTGATGCAATATAACATGGCACAGTGTGGTAATTAGAAGCAGTACTGCAGTTAAAGCTCTTTCAGCATTCTCAATTTTTAATATCCAGTACAGCTGCACTTTTAAATAACATTTAACTAATATTTAGTGGAGAAGTTGTTCACTACAACCATGGTCAAACCGAGGTTCTAATTAGTGAAGTATTTATCAACCTCAAACCTGTAATTTGAAGAACAGTTTTTTTGTTTTGTTTTGGTTTGGTTTTTTTGTTCGATTTTAGGAAATAAATTTCATTTTTCTCTATATGCTTTCTCAGAATTAAATACACTTCTTTCTCAAAAAACAAACAAAACAAGACAAAACAAAAAAAACCACCACAAACAACAGACATGAAAAGTTCTATGGCATGAATCTTCTTAAACTGATCTTGTAAATGCAACTTCCCATATCAAGGCAATGGCCATGAGAACTGCATAGAAGACAGTTTACCAGAGATTTTTGAATGAAGAGTCAAAATTGTACTCTTCACCTAAAAGCTTCCCTCACCCCATCTGTTTTCTTCCAATACTTCCAATCATAGGCACAGACACTCTACATTCTTGGCTCATTTATTTACTCATTCCTGGAAGCATCAAAGTCCCATGCATCTACCCACACTTCTGTGGACCTGACACTGCAGTACCAGAGCCCAACTGGATTTCTGGGTTAAGCTGAATGTACTGGAGGAAAGAACAATTCTACCTACATGGAGAAAAGTGACTTCTTTAAGGAAGCACAGGAAATCTGCCAGGAAACAGGAAACCAAATTTAGATTCTGTCATACAGTCCAAATCATCAGATCAGGTCTCCACAAATGTGGACAACAATAACTTTTTTTTTTTTTCTTGGAAACTCCACTTTTAAGTCTGCTCCTGTATTCAGTGCCAGCACCAGAATAAATTGCAGTACACTTATATCTAAAGATCACTCCTGTGTTCTTATGTTTTCCATCACTCTTTATTACAGAAAGAAAAAACAGTATTGCTGAGAATATGATATATAATATAAGTGAAATATAATAATCTCTATGTATCCTATAGTCTTCCATACACCACCATAGGTAACTGCTTCATCTCTTAATTTGCATTGCATATACTATGCAGTAGCAAGTCCCTTAAATTGAAAGAAGTATAATTACTTCTTAAATACTGGCACATTTTCTAAGTGCAGTAAGATTAATTATCTCCAACTTACAAGTGGAAAAGCTGAGCTTTCCCAGTTCTGTGGAGCAGCTTCTTCCAGGTTTCTGGGAGACAAATGGTGAAATGATAAAAGAGAAGTCAGGTCTCACGGGTCCTACTCTTGCTCCCTCACTTTCAACTCATCCTACCTACAGTGACTTTGCAAAGACAAAGATAACCGCTTCAAAAGAAAACTTGCAACCTTCCCTGCAGTACCTACTCCCATATAGTAAGAAAAATTTACATAGAAACTAACAGGAATAGGAAAGATATATCAAGAAGAAAGCAAACATACAACACAATTAGGAAAAACAGAAAGTGAAAACAGCGATTTCATTTATTTTGCATCTTGTGTATAAGGGGAAAAAGATTCTATTTATTTTAAATAAGAAAAGTTACTAATATTTTAAAATTTCTGATTTAATTTTCTGATTTGTGTCATAAGAGCATTAACAGAGCCCTCAGAAGTCTGCTCATTTGTCAAAATGCCAATACATCATTTCTACACTTTACAAAAAGCTTTATGTTTAACACTATTACCCACTATCCATATGACCTTCTCTTCAACAGATAAAACTAAAGGACAGAAAGGTAATTTTTCCTTATCTTGTTTGCATTCTAGTCGATCTTGTCCCAGAGCAGATTGTATTCAGCATTAAGAAAGGGCAAGAGAGACAAGAACCTCCATCTTCCAGGGCTCCTGACAGTTATCAGAAGCAGGCACAGAGCCTGCAGTTTCCTTAAACACAGACACACCAAACTGGAAAGAAGGCAAATGTCCAGCCATCCCAAAACATTATAGTATGCACTGACTTGGCAGCAGAAGAAGCTAAAGATCTCACCTGCTTCAACCACCCAGTTCAGGTCATGCAGAAAATCTGGTGCGCAGTTCTTATTATGCTTTTCAGATTGACAGATAAATGCACAATATGGAGGGTGAAAAAAAGGCCTAGTAGTCTGCATTGCACACAGTCATCTACACAGTCACCTACAAAGAAACGTAGTGCGTGTTTTGAAGGACACAGATAACGACAGAAACTACATGAATTTGGTAAGAGAAGGAGTTACTAACTAAAGTCTTCACTAGTCCTAAGAAGTTATTTGAAAGAGCTTATTTATCAGTGCATGAATTACAGTTATGTTCAACAAAGCAAACACAAAACTAATGCAACAAATCCCAGTCCATTCACTCAAAAATTACGTGGTATGAGGCAAGCATTCCCTTAACACCATTTCACAGCCCAGTGGACAAATTCTGAACATCTCTGCTTCTGAATCCCTAATTAACAAATGAACATGGGATTCAGATGAGTTCATTTACATAGGGATTCAAATCACAAGTAACACAAATACAGGAAATCAGCCCAAGCCATACATACATATATGTACTGTTGGTCTTGTACTCACAGATCTACCATGCAGTGTATGGTTATGCGCAATCACATGCGAGTCTGTGAACAAAGAGCCTCTGTTCCAGTTTCATTTTGTTCAGCTGAAAGACATGCAGGTGATAAGCTCCTGGTTTCCTGAAAATGCTGCTTCCTCCCCATCTTTGACTTCAGCAGTTCTATAACAAGATTTTCAAGCTTCGTGTTTTCTAGCAACCCACCTCTACTTCAGAATAAAAAACACTTCTTTTTTTTTGGTGAAGATCTATTTGGGAAGATTAAATTAGTGTCTTAGTTTTAGGTACTGAAAATCTCCAGAAAGTAATCGAAGTTCAACTTGGTGACAGTTTCCTTTCATTTGGTTTCAAATTCATTTTATCAGCCTTAAACTGAGTGTTCTACCTAAATGAAACCCACTGTCAGAGGTACCTTTGAATTGAACAATCACACTGCTTCAATTTATGTCTGTCATTTTATTTTTTGTTGATGTATTTCTGAAAAATTGAACCCAAATTGTTAAAAACAATATCATTTTCACTGTCCAATTCTATTCTAAAGCTATTTTTAAGCACATTTTTCATGCTACCAGGCAGCCATAGATCAGCCAAGAAGAGCAAATATTCAGAGTGCTATTATTTCAGCACTGATAGTATCAAAGTATTTAATGCCAATGGTAATACGAATGTCCAGCATTCATATGTTCTCTGAATTCTTCTGGCTTATCTAGAAATCCAGTACCCTTAAACCACTGTGGGCCTGTTTGCCAGTATTTGTACCTACAGTGCTTTTCAGCTGTCCCATGCAATTTGACTTTACCCACACCCTAGTCTTGCCTTGATACAGGGAAAGACAGTCATTACAAAGAACATTCTCCACTGAAAACACTTCAGTCTGCAAGTTTTTGTCAACTTTTCCCATGATATGAGCATGTGAATGTCTAAGAGGAAGATTACATACCAGACTAATTTTTCAACTCTGTATGATAGAATGACAGCTCTCAAAGGCAACAAGAGCTCCAGTAGTGTCTGTAAATGTTTTAACAGTATATAATAATCTCCATGATGGAAAGTACAGCTGATAGCTCCATTAGTTTCAATACAGACATACAGTTATTATTTGCCAACAGG